ACACACCATGTGCCATTGCCCTGTATTCTGCTTCAGTTGAGGATCTAGCAACTACAGACTGTTTCTTACTCCTCCATGACACAATGTTCCTAGCGACCAAAGCACAATAACTTGAGGTGGATCTCTTATCATCAATACATCCTGCCAAATCAGCATCAGTGAAAGCTTCCGGCTTCATGTGTCCATGTTTGGCAAATAGAATACCTTTCCCTAGAGTACCTTTCAAGTAACATAGAAYCCTTTCTACAGCAGCTAAATGAGTATCTCTGGGAGAATGCATAAATTGACTAATAACGCTTACTGCATAGGAAATGTCTGGTTGAGTCATGCAAAGATATAACAACTTCCCAAGCAGTCTCTGAAACATCCCCTTATCAGATAAAAGGTCACCATCTGTAGCAGAAAGCTTATGATTGGGATCAATAGGAGTGGAGATTGGTTTAGCTCTAAGTTTACCAGTTTCAGCAAGGAGGTCAATGACATATTTACGTTGAGAAATGAAGATACCATCCTTAGATCTAGCAACTTCAATGCCCAAAAAATACCGAAGATCTCCCAAATCTTTGATCTCAAATTCAGAGTTAAGAAATCATTTTAGTTTATTGACCTCTTGAGTGTCATTACTCGTGACCACAATATCATCAACATAAACTATCAAGAAGGTCACCAAAGAGCCATTTCTCTTCAAGAACAGGGTATGATCAGATTGAGTTTGTGTGTAACCAAAGGAGACAAGAGCAGCCCTGAACCTCTCAAACCAAGCCCGAGGAGACTGTTTGAGACCATAAATAGATTTCTGCAGTTTACACACCTTGCCTTGCATTTTCTTCCCATACACCCCTGGAGGCAAAGACATATAGGCCTCTTCATGTAGGTCTCCATTCAAGAAGGCATTTCTAACATCAAACTGGTGTAGGGGCCAATCAAAAGTAGCGGCTAGAGATAACAAAACCCGGACTAAGGTCATCTTAGCTACAGGAGCAAATGTCTCAAGAKAGTCAATACCATACATCTGAGTGTAGCCTTTAGCAACCRGCCTAGCCTTAAACCTCTCAATAGATCCATCAAAGTGATATTTAATGGTAAACACCCATTAACAACCCACCGGTTCTTTCCCTTCAGGCAAGTCAACAATATCCCAGGTATGGTTCTTATGCAAAGCATCCAGTTCAGCCATCATAGCATTCCTCCATTCAGGTTTAGATAAGGCTTCCGGTACGGACCTGGGTATCACATGGAAAGAAACAAAAGCAAGAAAATAGTAGTAGGAAGGAGAGAGAAGGCTGTAAGACAGGTGTTTGGAGATACAATGGGCTGTACACTTCCCCTTGCCCTTGCGGAGAGCAATAGGAAGGTCAAGGTCTGAGAAAGATGTAGATGGGTCAGAAGAAGGCTGACCTGTTACCTCAGTAATGATGGGAGGAGCAAGAGGCCCTTCTGTAGGAATGGAAACAACCTGCCCATGTCTGAATCTGTGCCTTTGGTACCACCTTTGGACAACAAGATGAGGAGGAATTATAGGAGAATGAGGTGGAGGAGGAGGAGGAACAGGAATATCGGAGGTAGGTCCAGTGGGAGAAGTAGACACCTCATGAGAGGACTCAAGAGGAATGGGAAGAGGAACAGTTGGAGACATAGCAAAGGGCTCTTCAGATTTCTCCCCCTCAGGAGAAATACTAAAGAAAGGAGTCAACTCAGCAAATGTGACATCCCGAAATACAAAGCGGGTGCCACTAACTGGACAATCCTTCTGCTATCTTCACTACTTACCAAGGCATATGCTTGTGATAGTGAGACACTATCCTTGGATAAAATATTTTGTTTTGTAATATCATACTCTGGGTTTAGTCCAGTTAAGAACTCAAACATCCTATTTCTCTCAACCAGTTTTCTGTAGGTCTCTGCATCATTAGTGGTGTCCCAGGTTACAGCTTCTATCAAATCTATTTCTTGCCACAAAGACTTCAGTGTTGAGAAGTATACAGCTAAAGGTTTCTCCCCCTGTCTTAAATTCTTCACATCACTTCTCAACTTGTAAGCTCTGGCCACATTTAATTTTTGGGAATAGGTTTCAGCAACACTATCCCAAATTTCCTTTGCTGAATTCATCCACAAATAGTGCTGACTAATCTGTGGCTGCATTGAGTTCACAAGCCACCCAATAACAGTATAATTTTCTTGCATCCACTTCTCATAAGATGGATCATCTTCTGAGGGAGCCTTTTTGCTCCTGGAGATAAAACCCCACTTTCCTCTACTACAGATATGAATCTTTACCGGTTGTGACCATGCCAGATAATTAGTTCCATCCAGCTTGACTGTAGTTACAGTCAGTAAAGAGTCAACAGAGRCTCYYGRAACCTGCCCGGATTCAGCAACATTCTTGTTTTCAATCTCTGAGGAGTTCATCTCTTTAAACACTTCAAAAAGATTTCAACCAACTTCAAAAGACACCAAATGAAGATAGAACAAGGACTGTGTTGAGCCTACCTCTATGCAGCAGTACCAAAAATCTGAGTCACACCTGGAAGCTGGGAGAAACAGAAAAGGAGCCGCACCTTGTAGACTACATGAAACACCAACTAACTTGGTTCGATCTTCAAGAAGGAAAATCAGAAAGCCTCCAGACCCTGAGCACCCAGTCCAAATACTCTGTGGGGCCCGCAAACAGATTTCTCTAGAATATTAGGGTTTCGGGCA